AGTACTAAAGGAATTCTTAGAGTCTTTGGTAAGGTGAAAAGGCTCTTGGAAGATAAGTGATCCTACCCTAATCTATTCATCTTGTTGATTTGGATTTTCTTGTATCTTTTTTAAAGTGGGGCACACCTCTGATCTGGGGGCACGCTCTTGGAGGGTGGGTATGTACAGACCTCTGAGCCTGGTAATGGCTGAAAGTCCCAAAAGATCCAGGTTGCAGCTGCCGTGGGATTTATGATGTTCCAGGGATGGCAGTGAGGTGGCCATTCTATAACAAATGAACTCTTGGGCTTCTAGTGAACTGGAAAGAGCTAGAACATTTAGTGATGCCAGGCACTATACTTGACACTTTACAAATATGACCTCATTTAGTGCTCTCAACAAACCTTTGAAATAGATTCTGCTTTTATCTCCACTTCACAGATGAGGAAACTGACACAGGAAGATTAAGTGACTTATAAGGGAGAGCTGAGATTTGAGCTCAACCCAGTCTGACTCCAAACCCATGTTTTTATTCACTCTTCTATCCTTTTTCTCAACAAGCTTACAAATGCTATTAAGCTCTGAGGCCTGCAGGCAGCATGGACCTCAATGATGTACACTAGGCCATGTGCCTTTTAGTCACATGCAGTGAGTAGAGGGCTATGACCATGTCTGCCCAACTTGTGATTCTGGTATTATTAGGACTTTAGTTTCAGAAGTAATACAAGATCTCCCCAAACCCTGAGCATCCAGCTTATAAGGATTCCTTCCATCTGGACTTTTGAATTTATACCTCTACTCCCTTCCTCTAATCTTTAGGATCAATCCAGTACAACTATAACCTGCCATCTCTTCCCCATCACCCCTTTCCTTTCCCTGGAGGTAAATTATACAAACAACGCATCAGTTGTAATAAGGTAGGTTATGCTGCAAAACAAATAACCCCAAACTCTCAGTGACTTAAAATAACAGTGTATATCCTGAAATAACAAAGATTTCTCTACCCACATATGTCTGTCTTGTGTCACTGGGGAGGCTTTTAGTCATTTAGGAACCTAGGCCGACAAAGCCGTCCCCTCCTCCACCATGGCTGATGGCCGGGGTGCTGAGCCAGTGGGAAAGGAGGAATCCAAGGGTCTCTGTTGGTTTTTAAAATCCTTGTCACTTCGACTCCCAACTCATTAGCCAGAACTCTGTAAAATGGTACCATCCACCATAAGAGAGCCAGGCAGCCCAGTCCTCCCTTGTGCCCAGGGGGAGAAAAACCAATATTAGGTGAGCAGTGGTAGTAACCACCACATACACCATGCCATACATTTCTTCCTCCTTTTTTCTCCCTAGTTTGGCTAATTACACCTCAGGTAAACTTTATAGGATACACATTAAGCCTCTGTAATTCCATTCCTCCTTTCATATTTGTCTTCCAAAACTTTTTCAAGTACTGCAAAATAACTTCTCCCTTTCCTTTGTGCGAGCCATTTGTGAGACAGAAGGAAAGATCTTAAGTCTTGAAGTGAAATTATACATATTGAAGACCTAGGACTACTAACCCCAAAAGCTTCTGAAATAAGTAGAGATTCCTTCTGAAATTCACAAATGCCTCCCTGGGCTTCCTCATCCTGCTAAATGTAAACTGGTCTTTCCTCCATTGTCAATATTCAAGACAAATAATGCTCACATTTAGTTCTGCTTATTGTTTTTGCTTAATCCAGCTATATTGCAGTAGTATTGAATAGTATTACTCTCTATCAATTTTAAATTAAACATGCACCCATTCAGGCACACTATAAATCAAATGGACTTCTGTGTGATAAATTGACTACCTTGTTACCAGTTTAAATTGGCTTCTGAGGGAAATTGTATTCTAAATTCCAGACAATGGGTTTGCAAGCCTTGTTTTAGAATGTAGTCTATTTCTATGCTGGACTGTCTTTCTATAGCATATTTATGTGTAATCAGAACACCAGAATAAATGTTGTGTTATAATGGATGATTATCCTCTACTGTATTCATGGGTTATTATCTTTGAAAAAATTAGAATATGTAAAACGTATTTCAAAATTTTATGAACACAATTTTTTCCTTCATTCTTGACTTCACTTTTTCTACATTGACCCAGATCAGAAACTGTAATGTTATTTTTGACTACTCTTTATATTTCTCTCTCTCATTTATTTAGTTATTCACTCACTCTGTCATTCAGCAACTATTTAGTGAGCATCGCCTTGTGCCAGGCACAAGGCAGAGCCCTGGAGAAAGTTGAGAAGTACAGTCTGTACCCTTAAGGAGATTCTGGGTAATGGGGAGCCACATGTCATTAAATAAATGCTGTAAATATATTTTCTCAACATTTTCTCTAGCATACAGCACATAATATGTATATCATAAACACAGGTGTTAATCACCTGATTTTGTTATTGGTAAGGCTTTCAGTCAATAGTAGGCTCTTAGTAGTTGGGGGAGTCAAAAGTTCATGTGGGTTTTTGACTGTGTGGAGTGGGGAAGTTGACACCTGTAACCCCCATGCATCCAAGGCTCAACTTAGTCAACTTTACAGTAAGATCATCAGTATATCGAGGTGCAGAAAGAGCAGCAGAAGCAGAGATGAGACGTGGATCTGCTTGAAGGTGTCAGGTAAGGCATCAGAGCGGAGGCGGCTTTTGACCAGCCAGCAGGGTGAGGGAGTTCCAAGCACACTGGAGAACAAAATTCTCCCCTTGTGTGTGGAGCTTCTGTTGCAAAAGAGGAAATGAATGGGCTGGGGGGTCGGGAATAAGCTTGAGTTGCTGAGCAGAGAACAGAGCATCAAGGACTTTGCCTGCCTTTCAGAAGTTTGTGTTTCATCCAAGAAATAAGGGAGCCATGGAAGGCTTTAGAACAGAAGGATGACCGCGTTAGATTTGGTGGCAATGTGGAAGGCTGGTCTGGAGAACCATGACCCTAGATCAGGGTTTCTTAACCCAGTCCTTGGACTTGCAAGAGGTCCATGGATGGAATGCTTGGGATGTATGAACTTGGATAGGAAAAAAAGTACATTGTTATTATCACTAAACTCTGACTGAAATTGAGCATGTCCTTCAAATATGAGTCTGGACAGCAGATCACAGTGGAATTTGCAGAATATGTGAGTTTATCACCAGTAGAAGTCTGGTATTTTGGTATCATAATACAGTTGATGCAGATATCTCAAAATACCCTTTACATGTTTCACCAAACCCAAATAATTAGCCATTAGACCTGTGGATACACCTTGTTATTTAATGAATTAATAAAGGAGTGCATATACTATCACATCACAAATTTGATATGATATGTGTATTTTAATAGCATTCATCTTTTGTGATTTGTGTATTTAATTTTATGATTTAAACACAGTGTCCTGAGAATGGGTCCATAGTCTTCACTTGACTTTCCAAGGGTCAAAAAAGGTCAGAACTCATGGGCCAGAGGAAGGTGCCTAAAGCAGTAGTGGAAAGGAGGGTCCATTGCCATTGTTATTTAAGTCTTAAACTTTTGTCAAAGTCATACATGTAAGTGTGGTTTCAAAAAATCAAGTAGTATGGAAAAGACAAAAAAACCACTATGCCTTGCTCCTCTCCTCTCCATATGCCAATCCTATACTTTTTTTTTTTTAACTTACAGTGGTAAGCTAAATTCCAGTTAGACTGAGAATTCTGTGCAGGAAATGCCTTATAACCCCCACTATGTTTTTCATTTTAGGTATTGAATAAATGACTGATAGATTCCAAAGGTTCCAAAGGCACTTCCTGTTTCAAGGTCCTTATGTACATCAATTGTACCATACTGTAGTTGTAAAAGTCATAACCACCTGTGACACTCTTTGACATGGTGCTTTTACCTAAAATTCTCAAGTTTTCTGTCGTTTGCCTTCACAGAAAATAACACACTGTGCAAATAAAAATTCCTTTTACCTGTGCTACTTGTTTTTGTGTGAGTTTAGTGTGATGGTGGGTTGAAAAATCCTATGTAATCTTAAAGCAGAAATTGAGAAGGTGGATTTGAAATTTCTACGTATTATTTTTGTTAGGGGGGGGATGCATGTTCTGTCTTGGTAGTAGTGGTTAATTTTCATGTTGTTGCCCATGCTGAGTTGCAGATGGAATTGCAGCTGAGGTCTCTGATTGGCTGGCTGTGCTCTTGCGAGGTCCAGAAATGTATATGTGGTTTGATGTATTTTGATGGTTACCTGATAAAACTGATGTCTGGCACTTTTTCTAGGAAACACACATTTAGATATCTCCAAGTTGATTTGTAGGAACTTAATGTTACTACAATTTTGTGGCAGAACTTTTTGTCAAGTGACAGAAGAAATACAGGAACTTCAGTTTTGAGGGCCCTTAACAGCACCTTCCATTAGTGCCAAAATAGAGGAGGTTGACAAAGTACTGAACTGTTAACACGGATTATGACAAAAATAAGCAAGTATCTGGACTTTTAAGAGTTACTGATAAGAGTTAAGAGTAAAATACCGTTTCAGCTACTGACACTAAATAGGCCCCCAAACTTCTAGAAAAAGGCACCTTTTCCCCTTATCTTCTAAATAACATTTCTCAATGCAGTAACCACGGAGACTACTTGGATTAACCTGGAAGTTTGAGTGCTGTTTTCTGTTCTCGCTGTTTTTTGGAAGGAGGTGGAGCTGGGTTTGGGAGAAACGCAGCAGACTCTCGAAAAGTTAGCTTCTCAGTTTACACATGAAAATCAGTCATTTTCTTCATTAATATTATAAATAGTTGAACAGCACATTAGAGATAGGTAATGAAGAAATGAGAGCTATTACCTGGTAATACAATGAGTTAACTTTTCTTTAAACTTACTGGCTTCTCCCTTAACATTAACTGGCTGGATAGCAAGTTCATACTTGCTGACACTGTAGTGAAGCCTCAGAATACTCTTGGAGCAAAATGACTTTTTTAAAAATGCTTTTTTGAAATATAATTTTTAGCGGAGGAAAATTTTAGATTTGGAAGAAATATTTAAGCTGCAGACCTTCAAAGCCAACTTTTAAAAAAATCATTTAATGAGCAGGTTAACGAAGCACGGGAAGAGAAAACTTTTATAGTTAACAAAGGAGGTGAAAACCTAGACTCGGAGCGCGAGACTGGGAAGCATTTGACTTTGATTTACATATACAAGACCAGAAAAGGAACAGCGGCAGATATTTCTAGGAACTAGTTAAGGAAGAATGAAAAAGACAGGAGTTAGGAGGAGAAAGTGCTTGTCTGCGGGAGGAGGAATCTCCTAACAGTTTCCGTACTTCCTACTTTAAAATCTTCAAGTTTCCTACAGGGGCTGGCTTTCGGGCTACCACGGGCGCTCACACCGTCGTCTGGGAAGTCATCGTGGCGCCACTGGGTGATGCAGAAAAGCTTGTTTGTGTGTACCCCACTTGAGTGCGGAGCCCAGTCGCCCTGTGGCAGGGGCTGCTCCTCCCAGTCATGTGCCAGCGCTGCTCCAGGCTCCTGGACCTCCTGTGTGTAGCCTAGGAAGAAAGGAGACATTAGAAACTGGCCGATGTCAACGCGTTTAATATTGAAAGCATACCAGATGAGTGGAGTATTGAGAGTAAACAGCTGGGTTACCATTTCGCTGTGTATGGAATAGGTTAACATCTGTTCAGGTAGACTTAGGTATCCTGCTGCAGATGAGAATGTGGCTAGGCAAAGTGGCTTCCATGGACTGGCTCAGAAAAGAGCATCCATTCTGTTTTTGTTCATGCATGTTTACTATAACCTTTTATGAGGAGCTAGTTTTTCAATCACCAAGTGATGACATGGTTATTACCATGGTTAGAAATCTAGTCAGTTTAGAAGGTTATGAAGTAAAAAATAAAATTGCCAACCCTCTAGTCCCACTCTGCAGAGGTGAATGTTCTTAAAAGTTTCTTTTTATTCCAGAATTTTTAAATGCAAGGTAAGCATACATTTAAATTGTTTTTAAAAGCATGTGTGAATATTATTATACATTCTGCTCTGCAATTTGCTTTTTAAATTTAGTATTTGGGATTTCTCTATATCTGTGTAGCTTTATATATCTTTTATTGGAACAAAAAGCACTAACTCATCCATAGACATTTGCACAATATTCCATGGTATAAAATACACCATCATTCATTGAATTAGTCCCTGACCAGTTGACATGTAGGTTGTTTCCAGTTTTCTGCTATTACAAACAACAGTGCAGGAAACATCTCTCTGCTAAGGTTTCTGTGTGCTTCTAGGGATACATATGATGAGTAAATTTCTAGTAGTGGAATTTTAGGGCCAAAGGATATGTGCATTAACATTTTAATAGGTATTTGAAAATCATATTCTAAAATGGGTGCACCAATTAATTTTTCAGGCTTAAATAAGTCACTCTCAAAATTTTAAGCTGTAAGTATAATTGAGAGGTTTTCTTAAAGTACAGTTAGTTTTTAAATGGCATATTTTGTATTGAGACCAAATAAGCTTGTTCATTTGCTAAATAAATGACCTGGAAGTCAAATCTCCATTTCAGGGAGAGTGTCTCTGGAGGGCAAAGTGATGGGCCCTGGGGCCTTTAAAACCAGCCAGAGGCTGAGTGCAGCAGCTGGGAAAGCCTTGGAGCCGGCAGGCACCCTGAGCTGAGAGGCAGGCACTTGGTTTCCTGCTTCGTGGCTCCAGATAAAACTGACGGACTGTCTTTAGAAATCTTGGGGCAGAATTGAAAAAGTTTGATGTTTAATAATATCATCTTCAATTAGTTGTTTCTAAAAGACATTGATGAAGCACAACTGTGGTACAAAATTCCTCCTCCTCCAACTCCCTGTCATCCCCTTTCTGTCCCCTTACCTAGCTTTCACGCCTCCTTCTTTTGTGTGTTTCTTTTTCATACCAACCACTTACCCGAATCCTCTGTGCCCCCTCATGATACCAGAAGGGTGGCCAGTTTGGGGGACAATGGAATTGATTTATTGCGACTGAAAGGTGGTTCTGGAGAGGGAATTAACTATGCCAGTGGTTATTACTGCACTGACCCGGCTCTCTGGCTTCTTCCCCACCTCTGCTTATGACTCCAGATGCTTAGAGCATTCTACCTACACTACATTTATTTCTCATTTTTAAGTTTTTGTTTAAATCATAACACCTGTTACACATGAAACCAAGGTACAACCAGGGACCAAGATGTGAGTCAGGTTGCAAAAAAACCTATAGTTCAAGTTGCTAGTAAATTGCTTAGTAAGTGATTATAGTAGCACTTACAATACTTTTTAGATTATAGCCAACTCTTTGGGAATTACGGAACTTAGACAAATATTTTATTTCACAAATTATCTGCTTGTTTAAAAAATGGCCCTTTTAAAACCCAGCTCTCTCACCCTCAAAGAAGAAAAAACAGTCAGGCCAGAGTAGGATCTAGGTGTCAGTACAAAGGAAAAAACAAACAAACAGACACGCCCTAAACTAAACTAAAATGAATTTCCCTTTTTAGGTCTGAATCTCTGTGGCTTTGTAAACTACTTCATTATCTGACAGAGGCTTATGCCTTAAAGCAAAGGAAATAAACCAACAGGCACACAAGGCCTGTCTGATCAAAACTCTTCATTTCCCTGTAACACACTAGAAGCCAGCAGGAAGCAAGGAGGTGAAATGGATTGTTTCATGTTGTCCCTAAATAGAACGTTCTTCACAACGGGCAGGAAGCACCTGGAAGATTGCTTTAGAAATTTGAAAATAAATTGTTTTTTAAATAAGAAGGGAAAAATAAATTGGTTTCTAAATTCAGCTGCTTTTAACATTTTCACATACATACATTTTTATAATCTGATTTCTGATGAAAGTGAATTCAAATTAAAAATGCATTTAAATTTAGGAAAGAATGCAGATAACATCAAGATAGGAAATTAAGATAGAAAATTTTAGCTTAACTCTGAATCCCCTTTTCTGTGACTAAAATTGACATTCACTATTACAGTACTTTCATTTTTACAGCTCTTTACATATTCTTTAAAAAAGCTTAAAAGTGAAACAAAGATGTTTCTTGACTATTATAATCTCTACTGCCTAACTCTTCTAACTTTTTAAGTTCGTTAAGGCTTTAGAAGATATTCTTTCCCAAATCTATCCTTTAATTGACAGTTTACTAATGGAATTGATAGGATTTTCCCATTTTTACAATATTTTTGATAAGAAGTATTCTGGTTCATTTTATTATTCTTATTTCTTTAGATGTAATTCTTTTGTAAATAATATTAAGTTAATTCATTCTAGAGAATTCTGTTGTTCTGACAGCTGATAATAGGAATGCATATTTACCCAAATTACTAGGAAGAGTGTTACATAAAGGAGTTAGTGGGGGAATATCAGCTCACCAACTCTGAAGTTAAGGGAAAAATTTGTCCTGGTGGATCATTGGTCATATAAAACCCTGTGTTTTAAGTAAAAATTAAAAAAGAATTTCACCATTATATAACCAGTACTTTAAGCAAATTTTACTACATTCTGTTAATACGTCACATTGAATAATCCAACCAGAAACACAGGGTATCGATTCTTGTCAGCAATACTTTAAAAGTGGAGATTTATTAAGAGTTCTTTTATTACCTTGATTTCATTGCTTTTGTAAAATATGTGATGGGTATTACACTTAGATTTACTAGTGCATTTAATATCTTGTCAAAATGAAACAAGTACTTTTTGTCATAAATTTTATTGATTTAAAAGCATTTGTAAAGGGAGATGGTTATGCTTTGGGAATCTCACTCATTATTGAAAATAATATACGTTTTACCTTTTTTTTCTTTTTATAGACAGATATGTTACTGATTCTAAGTAACTTTAGGAATACTTCACATATTTTAACTAATTTTTGTGATTTCAGTTTTACAAATGAGCTGTACTTTAGATGGTCCCTCCTTAGATACCTGATTTGTGCACGTTGGAAGACTGTCTCACGCCCTGTCATTACAAATTCAGTTGAAAGACCCATCCTTTGTACCACTCCTTATCCGGATTTCAGAATTTCAAGTGGGCTCTTTGTCAACTTTAATGTACCTTTTGAGAATAAATTAACTCTCCAGTTTCTTGTACGTGTGTGCTTCTGGAGTGGGAATGCTTTCCTTCGGCCAACTGAAAGTGGAGCCGGCCCTCCTCTCACAGATTAAATCTAGTTTCAGTAGTATTAAATTTGGTTGGTTCATAACCAAAGAAAAGAAGTGCCCACATTTTTCTGTTTAATTTTAAACATTCACAGTCTATAGTCTCACTGTAGTCTTTGGGAACTTAAAGTATATAGCTGTTTTTGGCTTTGTGTCTGGTTGATCTAATTCTATATTGTTTTGACATTGAATTTGTAATTATACCCTAATGCAATCTACAGGGTTACATGAACAAAGTGAGCCATTTTACTTTGTATACTTTTCTTTTTCTGGTGGGGGCATGGTTCTCCCAGCTACTTTCTCATAGAGGGTGGAGGGCATAGGCAATTGTGCTAATTTTATTGATTTTGCTTATCTCTGTTCTCACCCCTACCTCCACTTGCCTGCCATTTTTCAGCAAGAAATTCCACACTTCACACAGCACAAAAACCTGGTTATGTGCTTGGACACTATCATGCATAGGAGGTGCGTTGGGACAAATAGATGTATTTAGATTTACTTAACGGGTAATAGGCTGTGTTTGTTGACTTTTAATTGCATGCTTACTATGTGCCAAGTTTTATGCTAAGCATTTTTTTAACTGAAAGGCATATATGTTTTTATCCTCAACTGAGGATATTTATTAATTTGAGAGATAGACAGAGAGAAACATCAATTAGTCACTTCCCATATGTGCCCCAAACAGGGATCAAACCCAAAACCTAGGGAACACTTTGACCAGGGAACAATCCCCAAACCTTTTTGTGTAGTGGATGATGCTTCAACCAACTGAGCCACCCAGCTAGGGCTATGTCAAGCATTTTACATGTATTATTTGATTTAATCACCAAGGGTGGCATATAATCACAATAATCACATTGTCCCCATTTTGCAGATGAGGAAACTGAGACTCACAGGGTTGAAGTAGGTCAATCCCTTACTAAGTGGCAGGGCTGTGATTTCAAGCTAGGTTATATGCATCTTTAATATCTGATTTAATATTTTATATCTGAGATCTTCAGCTTAGGCTTTGGAGCCCGAGTTACTTCCTGGGAAGTCACTGTGATAGCAGAGCCCTAGCAAAAGGCTACAAAGAGGTCTGGACCCAGGTGGGTGTTAACTTGGTTGTTCCATAAAAACTGCCCTGCCCAACACCACCCACTACAAAGTGCTTTTCTTCTTCGTGGCCTCACTGGTGTCATCTGTCAAATGGAAATAATGTTACTTTAGGTGGGCTATGTAGTTCTCTTTTTATTTAAAAAAAAAACTTTTATTTTGAAATAATTATAGAGTCCCAAGAAGTTACAAAGATAGTAGAGAGCAGGGCAGAGAAGATCCATGTACCCTCCACCCAGTTTCCCCCAGGGTTACATCTTGCTTAACCAACAGTAACAGAACTATAGAATTGATATTGTTGTAAAGTATACATGTGCTGTTTTATCACCTGTAGATTAGTGTAACCAACACCAAAATCAGGATACAGGACTTGGCAGTCACTAAGCAGTCACTAAGGTCTCCCTGCTGCTACCCATTTACGGTCATCCCCCTCCCCCACCCAACCACTAATTTGTTCT